TCTCATTGTTGAAGGCCGGCCGCCATCCTCTGCATATTATATTACTCACTTACCTAATCACTTCTCATAATTAAGAATATTATAGGTGTGTTATAACAAAACTTATTATCAAACGTTCTCTATTTAAAGCTGTATGACATAAAAACGCAGGAAATGCCTCTCATTAAACGATTGCCTAATGAACCGACCGGAACTCTTATAATAATTTTCCGCCTCATTGTTCGGAGCACCATCCTTGTCCCTATTCACAGACGAAAATTATTCGTAATTTGTAAATCACTTTGTATACATACAAATCTTTGTGACAGATGATAAATTCTTAAGTAGACAACTGCCAAAGTATAGACATAATGACTTTTTTTTTTAGTAATTGGCTTATCTAAGTACATGGTAATTGCCTTCTTATATTTTAAATCGATACAAATTACTCGCGACGTTCTAACGAGTACATATGTAATATGTGGTTATACAGATTATATATAAGTATATAACAAAAAAGTAAGTACTTAGCTGAGAATGAGAGTAACGGTAAGATAATGTCGGTTGTTATTCATCCCATTGCATGTAGAGAGGCTATCGAAACGAATTTGTCTTGTTAACGTGACGATGTTAATGGTGGTGTATCACGTTTAGTGATTCAGACCTTCACTGATATTGATTAAATGGGACACCTGATCGTGTTTGTTTCCACAATACCTTCTATAGAATGTCAGCGATAGCCTGTCACTCGCTACTTGAGTAGTACGGTACAATAGGTGATTCTGTTTTATGTAGCTGCGGTAGCTACAGCATTTCATCAGCCTGTAAGTGGCTACTGCTAAGCAAATACCGTTCCTCGTTGAGAATATGTATTTGAGCATTAATCTGTGGTATTCTGGAACGTATATCTAAGACTGTGTCTCATATACCTGCAGACGAGAGGTTAATCGCAATTCGCAAACCGCTTGCTCGAGGCTCATACTAAGAAAGTACAAATAATACTAAGTCACATTGGCACTTTTCGAACCCGCACCCTCATGCATGAGGATGGGAAGCTTTAAGCTCTGGAAAAACACGTGATTGCTCTTTATTGGTTGGTTGGTTATGTTTAATTGTTTACGAGTAATATTTATATTTAAAATATTCACATTCGTAAACTTTATACAGAATTACGTAAACCGGGGAAACTTCATTGTGGTAAAGTAATTTCTCATCAGTTTTTACTTCGATCTGCAGCAGGAAATCTCCCATTTGAAATGAGTGAATATTTTAATTTGTTTCATTGCCTAGTCCGTACTAACTAAGGCCTCAGCAAACGAGTCCGATACGGTCTTAAACTTATTATTTATTACTGAGAATGGACATTGAGTTTATGCAAATAAAAACTTAGACATGATTCATAGCGCAACAAAATAAAAAATGGTCCGCACTTTAACACAATGATATGTACTTACGATTTGATGGAAAACATCTATTGTGTTATTTTTTTATCACAAAAGTATCTTTGAGTACTCACATTATTTGCCACTACCACATAATTATATATTTGTATAGTACTTGAAACTTGAAAGGTCCTTGAACTAATTTTAGATTGCAAAATGGTGTATAATCATGGGTGCCTACTATAATTTTATATAAATCTGCTTCTTAGATAGGTACATTAAATTAAATATAAGTGTTTTTATGAGGCATTTCCTGGCCCAAACCAACCTCACCATTCTTAAATGATAGTCTAAGAGGGCATTGTTTTATTAATTTGTAATAGTTGCTCACATGAATTACTGGGCAAAGAAACTTTTTCTATATTGTCGCTTTTTTCGAATATTAATCATCACGAATCGCAAGTCGATATATCTCTTAGATTTAAGATGGAGAAATCGCCAATGCTTTTGTGATTGTATAAACATTTAGTCGCCTAACGCATCCTTCACTGTGCAATCCAAATACTCATCATTACTCGCATTTATGAAAGTGTCATTATGTTATGTGCACGCGTCCATAATTTGCATGTTGTTACGTCTCGCCGGGTGAAAATAAACAATCGAAAGATCCGGTACCCACATCTAATCACGACAAGCGGCTTAATGTCATAACACATTAGTGAATTGCCATTATAATCACACAGCTGGTGGTAATGTAGACACGGCCTTGTTCTGTCGCAATTGTAAAGAAAGTGAAACTAAGAAACCGCCAAAATGTTCTGTCATTGAATGAAGTACGCCGATTGGTGCAGTCGTTTGTCAATAGACTATAGACCGGCCGGCCATTACCGCCAATAACAGGCTTTCGCGACATCGTACCAACAAGCCTACCACCATAGTGCTATTGCAGATATAATTACTCACTTTCGTTAATTGCCTTAGAAATTGAATTACATACACAAAACTATAAATAACACGTCTAGCAGAAACGATTTAAACAAATTTGTAAACTTTCCTTTTCTAGAATTAAATAAACACAATAATGTAATTCATTGTGAATGCAAAGAGATTGGGTCGTTGTTTTCCAAATTTGGTGTCTCTGACACTTGAATATTGTTAAGAGTTAGGCCCCAACGAAAGCCACGTTTAGTTGACGCTTTACTTTGTGGTTTACTGAGCCTCGAGATATTGTTTTAGCAGCGTTAATATTGTTACATTGTGTTAATGAAACACTAAGATGAAATAAATATTTTAAGAGTCGCTATCATAGCGATTGCTACGATTATCTCGCCTGCAAGACTTAACCAAAAATATAACACAACTTCCTATATAACCTAAGCGCCAAGTTATTCCAATTATTTAAAAAATCTATTTCACATATAAATGAACGCTCTTTACGCACTATAGATTCTCGTAATTTCCAAGATGACTCAAGAATATTGATATTAACTCCAAATGAAACATTTTTCTTCCCGTTTGTTTTAAGCTATCGTGTTCGGTGGAACGTATTTGCGTCATTCGGATAACTCTAATGACTAAAACTGGTCTTGAACTAACCTTTTATTCAAACATAAGTCAAAAAAGACCCGTTCCTAATGAAATTCATATCGGTTTTAGATTGATCAGTACTAGTGAAAGATACTTAACGCACATTTAATACAAATTGTTTTTAAATTTGAAAATTATTGAGACATTTCTATCTCACATCTTTACATACAGCAAATATTTACATTTAAAAACTTAACAAGTCGTACTGGGCTTATTATTTTTTGCTGTTCTAGAAAATTGTTTGGTTCTTACGTAGTTTGTACAAAGTTCAATACAATTTAATGTATTAGTATTACTGGTAGTAATTTACTACGACGATATGTGTTGTCTTCAAGATCTCGAGAAACCCTCTTCAGTTATTGTCTTTATAACATAATTATGCATTATTATTTATTTACAATTACAGTCTGTTTGTATTTTAGTTACAATTCCCTTAATAGTATCACTTGATTTGCTCATGTCATATGAAACCCAAATAGGTTGCCAGTCTGTCTACCGAATCTGCTTTTATGATGTTTTATCTGCACCAAGATAAAATACAATCATTTTGCACCTCGATAACATTGGTATGTCGCAATGTACTTGGCTGATGTTGAAATTGATCATAGCTACATTGCTGCATTATCAGTACTTTGAAAATTACATCGATATTCCCTTTGGTATGTCCTACGCTTATCAAACTGATAATGTAAGTTATTGGCAAAATTGAAACTGCTGAAGAAACATTAAGTTGTCTAATTTAACTTCAAATATATATTTGACGTTAAATTATCATATACAATTTATAAAAGCTGTTTCATAAATACATTGTTCTTGATTCTTTTACGTAGGTATAGAAATTAAAAATCTACATTCTTCAAGTTGCCAACCTTGTTGCCAATATTGATTATTTTAAACTTCATTGACTGATTATCAATAACGTAATAAATACCTAAAATTACGTGTATTCGCATGGATTTAGGACTAGATCCAAGTTACGTAAGAGGTACTAGTTTGTATTACCATACTAAACAAGTATTATAGTTTCGATGAGCTTCGTAACTCTAATTAAAGTCATGTTTAATTATGTAAATTAAAACGGGATTTCATTGTTCAATTCTAGTTTATTAAACGCAACATTAACTTTCTCAAATATTTTGTAAAGTGCAGGTGTGCATTGAAAATAAATAAAGCAAAATAATAAAAATATTTACTTACTATACATTAATATAATGTTAATCCAAAAGTTCAGGGTTTTCTATTGAATCTAGTGACCATTATAATACATATTTGCTTGCATTAAGCCGTCTTCAAAACTTATGCCAAACGCCAAACTATTTGGACAGATATGGTCTCACTGGCGTCATCTCTCAATTTCATCAAATTAGAAAATCCTGTGTTTGAGAGAAAATCAAGTCTTCCTAGCCTAATCGTGAGCTTAATGAGACCGAAACATCCATTCCGTTCCAATTATGTACTTTTAAAATGTCAATCTCTGCGACGGTTAGCTTTGTATAATAAGTTTACGAAACATTCGATGACTAAATATTGATTAGGACTTTCGCAGACATTGCTGGGAAACAAATTGTATTGAGTATCTCCTAGTATCTGTGAATCTGAAAGAAAACTATTCGTAATTCCTAATATGGGCATTGCAAACTCCAATAAAAACCTGCTATTTGATGGAGTTCTGGACAGGATAGGTACTACGATATCTGATGTAAGGTAGGTAGGTAAACCTTAACGCCATTGGGTTGGAAGTACGTAAGACAATTCAAAGTTTAGCAATAGTTTTTATAATGCAATGGCACACAATGGTCGCGAAGGAAGAGAGTCGTGGATTGTGTGGACGCTGTGTCCGGGGCGCACTCGGCCGTGACGCAATTTTACGCTGGAGCGCACGGCGACATTACTCTTGTGTTCCTTTAAAAAAACTCCTGCTCACTAATGACAAAGTGATTTACTAAATTGCCATAGTGTTATGTGCAATCTTCGATGTAAACTCATGTGATGTATTAAAATAAGTACCCAAATAAGGAGATAGAATTTAAAAGATATTGTATTTTTTTTCAGACGGGCGGTGCAGACAGCGCCAGCGGCGGGTCAGGTGGCTCGGGCATGGAGTGTCTCCAACTACGCTCGCCACCCGGACCTTTTCATTACCTCATCTCGGAGCAGGCTAAGTCCCTCGTCGCTCTACAGGTTAGTCGTAACGTAACACAACAATTTTAGATACCCGTTTAACCGAATGAATGAATATTGTCATTAATTATATTTCCTATTATTTAGGAACTCCAGAATGAAGTCGGAGCTTTACTTGAGTTTCGCGACCTCGTCATCGAGACATTCCCAAACTTACGCTCCAAGATGGCACCGTCCACGCCTGCGAGCGGTACACGTCGCGACTGGGAGCCCGGGGTGCGCGTGCGTCGTAAACTTGCGGCTGGCGCAGGAGACGCTACGCGGGCCAAGCCACAGCCGTCCGTACAGGATTCCGGCTTTAGCACAGAGACCTCTTGCGGGAAAGACGCACATTCCTCATCGGCCTCAGCTTCTGCGTCAGCCACGCGTTCAAGACCAATTGAAGATGAGCTCTGGGCTTTACTCGACGTCATCCAGAGAAAAGGAGTTCGGTTACGAGACGAAGCTGAACAGTTGCGCGGCGAGCTCGACGATCGGCACCCACCGGACACCGTGGAGGAATCGTTCACGCGAGCACTCAATGACACGGCGTGCGCCGACTGCGCCGACACGGGACGGCTGCGTGCAGAGCGGGACGCGCTGCTGCTCCGCGCCGCGCAGCTGGAGGCGGCGGCGGCGGCGGCCGCCGTCACTCCGCCTGCGCCCGCGCCCAGTACCCCGCTCGGCCGCCTCGACACAGCACTGGAAACACCCTCGCGCCCACCGCGCGTCGCTACGCCTGACTCCAAGAAGTTCGCGGCGATTCTCCTCGAGAGCAATCCTGTCGAACTTCGGAGGCAGCTCCTCACTTCCACCGTTCAAAATCAGGTACATATGAAAGTAATTTGTTATGTAAAACCCTAAACCTCATTAGAAAACAAAAGTAGATGTAAAATCTACAATCTTATGAAAACAATCACTATGAAAATATTACTCAAAAGCGATACGTTTCCATTTCTACCCATTAAAATCCAACCCGCCTTGACCCTTTTACTTCTAATCATCAATCGTATTGTTTAGTGGGCCGAATTGAACTTCTCAGACTTGCATGGATATTACGGTAAGGTGTCAATTTTAGGAAGTTTCTTATGGGTCATTAGAAATCTGTGTTGCATTAACGAAATAAAAAATATAAAGAAGCAGTTAAGGCTGTTAATTGCAGAACGAGTGAGGTAACGAAGTACGTGCTAGTCGTTCTTCTGTCGTTGCACTAACGAGCTGCTTGATGCTCTGACGTAATCTCAGAGATTTCGGCAGTAGGTATTACGCAGAACAGTGGAGGTAATGGAGTGTGTCCGCGACCATGTCATTCCTCCACAGAGCTATTTATCTAAGTTATTTGTGTCGTGGAAATGTGTTTAGTACTCATTATACTTATGTACATATTATCGTTGCAATATATTATCGCTAAAATCATTGCGCTTTATTTTGTTTCTATCACGTGCAAGGCCTATCTCAAAGTACCTCAAGACAATACCGTAGCTTTAGCACCCAGTATGCATGTGTCATAAATCCTTGGCCTAAAATAATAGATAGCAATGAACAAGTGACTAGTGAGTTTCCGACTTAGGATTTGCTATTTACTTACAGCGTTGGTATCATGGTTATTGTAATATCACCTTCAACAAAAGGAAATCATCATTTAGCTTATAGGTAGTATGTATAAATTCTGAATGTAATTATTTTTGAATTAATTTTGCTGAAGGCTAATCTAGTTGCTTAATTTGCATTAATATCTTCTTGTTTTTATTTTACTGCCATAGAATCTCAGCCAATTAAAACGTTCACAGTAAACTGTTAGAATATTTTTACTACCCATAGCTTTCCGTATTTGAATTAAAACTGCTATTCTTAACGCAATACCTTAATTACGCTTAAACAGGCCAGACGGAAGTACCAAGGCACGTAAAAAAACAAGGAACTTGTATTGTATTGAATATAACGTCAGCCGCATTATACTGTAAAGTATGAACAACAGTCAGATTTTAAATTGATCTAATTTACTACCGTTTTAGTTAAAAGCAACGAAACCTATCTATTACCTATAAATATTCAATAGCTACGCATGGTCTTAGTACGTACAAAGGCGCGATACCTAAGAATTTATAGACAAACAAATATTTAGCGCTATCGTATCCATAACTAACTGAAGTTTAGACGTAAGAACATTATGAATTTTCTTTCCAGTTTTACGATTAAGGCTTGCTTTCTAAATAATAATTCATAACCAAGATATTTGTTTTCTTTAAGGTTCACATTTTACATTTAATTGTTATTACATTATTTCTTAAATTAAACTTCATTTGTTGTTTTTCATTTGCTATTTTATTGACCTTATGTTGCAACTACATGGTTGTATTTATGTAGTTTTATTCAATACTTATTTTATTCATTATGTCAATTCCAGGTATTGAGCGAACGCCTGAGACGCGCGGCCGCGCAGCGCACGGTGCTGTTAGAAAGACTGGAGCGAGCTCGAGACTTCAACGAGGACCTCAAATTTAGAGTGAGTTTTATACAAAATTAACACAATGACGCATTACATTGTATATTCAAAATTATGAGTATGAAACTGGTGCGGCGACCCCTCTCGAAATAATAAATACACCAATATATAGAAGTCTTTTTAATCATGGATCTTGTTCTTTATCATTGTATTCTTTCAGTATTTCATATTATGTTTAAAATCCTGGCGAAACATGATCGCAAACAATCTTTAATCTCATTGTTTTGGTCTCGATTTCAAATTGTACTAACTACCTAATCCATTTCATGTTATGAAGTTAATGTACACCCAAAAATATATTTCACGAGCCGGCACTTAAGCTGGGTACTAAATAGTATGTGATCTATGAGCCCATACCGAATTATCTACCTTATCACGCCTTCAGCCCAGCTCTGGAATTAAATAGGTAGTGTTTAACACTTTTAATTTCAGATAACAGCAGCTCAGAAGAAGCTACAGCACTAAGTAACCAAAGTATTGTGGAACACAGATCATGCATTTGGATCGTTTCATTAATAATTCATTCCTATCCCATAACAATAATACATATGAATAAAATACGAATCAATAAGTGAGTGACAATTTGATTATTAATTTTTTTTCAGCTGGAGGAGAAGAGTATCGAATTAGAAGGAGCACGTGCTCGCGTCCGACAGTTGGAAGGAAAGCGGCGCAGCCCCGCGCGGTCCGCGTCCCCCGCGCGCGACCACAGCAGCATGCGCGACATGGAGCCGCTGCACATGCCGGACGACGCGGAGCCCGACTCCCGCATCGCCGACACGCCGCGCCGCCGGCCCAGCCGCATCCCGCTGCACACGGCGCGGCCGCCGCCGGCGCGGCCCCCCTCCGCCCACTCCGTGCGCTCGGCGCGCTCCGCGGCGTCGGCGCGCTCGGCGAGCTCGCCGCTGGGCGGGGCGGGGACGGGCGCGGGCGCGGGCCGCAAGGAGCGCGAGCCCAAGAGCGGCGTGCCGGTGCGTCGCGCGGCGGCGCCCGACCCCAAGGTGCGCGCGCGCTCGTTCTGGAACGCGTGGTTCTTTCCGAAAGATTCCGGCTCATAGCGTGAGTGCCCGCGCGCGCCGGACTGACGTTCTCGTAGCTTGTCGAGTCGGGCCGCATCTCGCATGCCATTATGTCGATCGTAAGTTTTGTTTCCCCGTCGTTTCGTTTCACTTCGGTTACTTCAAAGCCGGGCCCGCCCCGATTCTAGTTTCCTTTAATTTGACGTAGAGCGAGTCGGTCCGTAGTGTAGGCGAGCATGTGCTAACGATTGTGTGTCCTCGTCACTAACTATAGCGACAGATCGAGTGACATCAAAATCTTTCCTTAAATACTGATAACATAGGCGTTCAATGAAGTTTAAAAAACTTAGCTCAATATGTTGTACTCGAAGTATTTGTGGTTGGATTTTTGTGTCTCTAACCCACATTTTCATCATGTTAATAAATTGACACATTTTGTTTGTAAAAGATGTCGTACTCTGAATTTGTGACTAGTGACATTTCTTTCATAGTTTAATACAAGTGTTTAAATTCATTCGATAACCAATTAATCACAATTCGTTTGTGCGACACCTTTATATGGCGTGGGATTTTACATACCAACATTATCAAAATATGAATTTTAACTTATATAAAAACCATTATTAAACTTAAACATTTTCAAGTGTTATTTATTCAGTGCACATTTTAACATTTTTGTGATTACTTCTGGACATTGTTGAAGACTATAATAGTATGGTAAGTGCAAGATAAAAATACATTTTTTTATAATTTGTATAATTGTTTTTGCCAGTATTCACTGTTTATGACACATTATATGTTAATTTTATGTCTTAATTTTGTTATTTATGATTTTTTGTATTTTCATTTGTATGTTTGTATTGACATAGTGGCATAATGGCACAAAATAATTGGCTAATCACACAAAAAACTGATGCTCTCACATGGCCTATACACTGTTGGTAATTGGTTTGGTAACTAATAGAGTGAAAAGTTATGCACAGATGTACTCGTGAAATAATAATATCCGGTAGTTCATGTTTGACACGGTGGAGATGTTAGCGGTAGTTTCACAAAAATGCAGTATCAACATACATTATACAATTATGTATCGTATAATTATTCGATTCACTAAGTCGTCAGTAGTCATTCTCACTAGTATGATATGTATTTCACTATATTATTTTATAAATGCTAATTTATTTGTTATATAAAAACTAAACGATTCGAGCATTTGGCTTGCCGACGTACGTATGCATATAGACGGAACCGTGGAGGATGACTAGTGGCGGCTCGCGGGCACTTGGCGGACTCGGACACTAAAGGTTAGCGCCAGCTCGGCCGCGGGGGCAGCGCCGCCGGTGTACGTAACCTCGTTGGACATTTCGACAGAGAGACGAAGATGAGTCGGAGCGCTGGCGCGTGGCGGCGCTGGCGGCGGAGTACGTGGCGCGCGCCGACCGCCTGGCGCCGCTGTTCCCGCGCGCGCGCCCGCTGCCCGCCGCGCTGCCGCCCTACGCGCCCCGCGCGCCCTACGCGCCCCTCGCGCCCTCCAACCTCGCGCTGGAACTGTCGCGCTCCATCCTGTACGAGCGCGCCGACTCGGTGCGCTCGCTCGTGTCGCACGTGTCGCCCACGTCGCGCGACGACTCGCTGTGGAACGGTAAGCCGCAGCAGTACTTTGAGAGCATGAACTACGGCGAGCGCCCGGCCTCGGACGACGACGAGCCCAAGGAGTACGACAGCGACTCGCTCGCGCCCTGAGCCCGCTCGTCCGTCTCTTTGTCCTTGCAACTTCTCTATTGAGTATCATTCCACGGTCGAGGGTTCTATGATGTCTCGAGTGATCTGTGATATGTCACCGTTTTAAATGTTAACTACCATTTTTTGGATCCTATGCTCATATTACGTAGCCTCTCGTTGGAGGAATGAAATTTATTCTTCAGTTATATAAACCTGTTTTTGAATCTAATGAATAAGTGTTATGCATGATATAAAATTAGGAGTTAATTTTCGGTACTATTATTATAATTTATATCCGTGGCTTTCAACTTTAATGGTATGGAGTCGAATGGATATTTTGATTCATGAAATGATGAATTTAAATATTTACTCACTATAACTATAATATTATTTGTAATGGGTTGATTTTATAAGAATTTATTATCAATAAATAATTCGTTCCACTTGTCTTCAAAGTATTACATACATAAAATAATATACATACAAATAATGGTAGCTACTTTAAAATTAAGTATCGTCATTCCTAAAACCTATAAGGACAGACTGTAATTATTTAATATAAATTGAGTGAGAGCTTGGAACGACTGTTAGAAAGGCTGTGAAACACTGAAGTGTGCTTGAAGTTGTTTCTGATGTAATCTATAAATTCAGAGGTAATAAAATGTAGTGCTTAGGTAATGCGTGTTGCTGTTTAAACATACTATTGTTAAACATATTCCAATCGTCCAGTGGTGTACGTCCTAACGAGACAAAGCGTGACTGCCTTTTGAGTTGTAAGATTACTGTGTTAATTCCTTTTACTAGTATACATTTCATACGGCGGACTTAACAAATAGTAGGAGACTGATTTTGTATAAATAAAAATTAGAAATGCTTTACCTGTGTAGGAACCTCCATTTAAATGACCGTAATTAAGTATTTCTTTCTCTGTTTTAAGAATAATGTGTAAAATGTACTATCAATTAAGCTCTTAAAGAATTATACTAATAAATAATAATATACCAATTCTATAATGTAAATGGCTGTATTTTATGTAATTAAGAATTTGTGGCTAGATTAATTATTTAAGTCGACTGTTTAATTGTACAGCATTCGATTATACTATTAGAATTTGTAAATTATTAAGCCATTACCTACCTATAATTAAGATACTCATAAATCTATCTAGTTAGCTTGAATCTAGTTGATGACTTATGTAAAGTGTACAGAGATCATATCATTATATACAGATCGTAAATAAAATTGTTCATATCAATATTATCTTTCATTTAAAAACAGAAAATTTACTTATTAACCTTTTATTGCCACAAATTAATAAATACATAGTATTACAATTAGTAAATTGTACCGAACGTATTACAAACTAAACAAAATACAATAGAATTAAATACTTTTAAACAACAAAATTACAAATTGCCGGCTTAGAATTGATCACTGGAGCTGGTCAATTTTGGTCCCAGGGTGACATCAACTATCTCGAGTGTATCAGGATTCTTAGTAACGTTAACGAAGCCATGCTGTTTTAGTTCTGGAAAAGTTTGTTTTTGACATTATCTAAAAAGTATTTTCAAAAGATATTAATTAAAAAAATTAAAGCATTGATACGTACTGAGTATCGACGTAAAACATCGCGCAGCTATTATACCTTTGTAACCTGATATCACGGGACCTTTATCAAGGAGGCTCTTTACAGTTACTGGTTGTAGACTTGCCTTGATATGCTTCATTATTTTGATCATTGTTCCCTCGGTGCCCCATTGGTCACTGTAAAAACAATAAATCAGTATAGTTAAATAATAAATTTATCCTTCAAAAATCCAAGTTGTTGTATTTCTATAATTATAAACAAACATACTACACAAGCACACACATACAAGAATAAAGATAGAACAAGAACAATAAAGACTGACCATGTATCGCGTCGGCCCTTTAAGAAAATAGCATTTGTTTTTATAATAACTATCGTGAGACATACTAAATTAACTAAAATTCGCGGGTTACTCACGTGCAAATGTTGAGAAAAGCTCTACTAGTTTCGAACCACAGAGGGGTTCTTCCTCATGAGCAGCGTGCGCGGACGCGGTGACGTCGCGTCCGTGAAACTAGTAGAGCTTTTCTCAACATTTGCACGTGAGTAACCCGCGAATTTTAGTTAAAATAGCATTTATGTATAGTTACCGTATAAATCTTTTCGAGTCTGTAGTCTGTTCTGAATCGCCAAGCGACACCTTCGTCCTGTCGAGACTGCCTAAAGGAGTTTCAGAACGTTCACTCCCAGTGACACGAGCTCTTCCTTGTGAAGTAGTAAGCGGCCGGTGCATTTGTGAGTGCACCTCGACCTCCGCTGTTATAGGTTGTGGAATATCAGCCAAGCCAACCTCTTGTAACTTTGAAGATAGTATTAATTCAGCGTCTTGGGGAGGTTGTGGTATTGTAGGGATGATATTTGCTGGTATATTTTCCTTGTTTTTCTCTGCTTCTGTAATTTTCACTGAATAAGTAGAATCCACGCACTTTACCTACCATAACTAGCAAACTTAGATAAAATGTATTACCTGTGTTGATTTCTGTTAAGTCTTTCGCCAGCTGACTTTCGCGAAACGATATGTAACCCATGGAGCGTTGACGTTTTGGCTAGAATAAAAAACAACGTCCGTAATTAAATTAAGTAGGTTAATTTTCGGCTTCCGACTTCAGATATTATGTTTTAGTAGAAAGTGCATAAGTCAAGAGCTCATCTCATTTATCTGTCAATAGTCAGATATTTGTTATCAGAGGAATAAAATTGTTACTGTCATTGTCTTAAACAAATATTCTGACGCGACAGAGCCATATTTATTCCCCAGATAACTTTCATCTAACTATTGAAGAATTAGGTCAAAATAAGAAAAAAAGTAACAATAATTTTGGTACTTACGCTTCCAAACATTTCTGGCTCTGCAGTCCTTTTGCGCGCTTGCGATAGTGTCTCTACGTTTTGTGTTGGTAAATCTGCGATGTCAATGTCAACTTGTGCGCTCACACGAGGTGGCTCAGAAATATTCAACCTTTCCATAGTCACGCTTGTTTCAGGAATGGGTGGGTCTACTTGTATTTCAGGTCTTTCACGGACTACAGTGGCCTCTTGCTCCTCTTCTATGATATCCAACATCGTCATTTTTGTAGTACGACGAGAACGTCTCCTTACAGCTTCAGCTTGCTGGAGTTAAATTAATAAATAAGTTAACCAGTACCTTATTTCTTGAAAATAACGACTTACGTGAACCAACCGAGAAAAGCTCTTCTAGTTTCAAGTCATAACGGGACTCTTATTCATGAGAAGTGTGCGCATAGCGACGACGTCACTCAACCAACAGCAGCAGTAGAGCTTTTGTCATTGATTCACGTAAGTCGTTATTTTCAATTAATTTTGTATGTCTCAGGATAGTAACTATTAAAAAACTACTAGTACTTTTATTGCCTGATATGCTAATCTAATAGGTACATAGATTTCAGATCAAGTAACACATCGATGACAACGGCTGTAACTTGAAACATGGTCCCTATACAACTTACTGCAACCTTAGAGTTCTGGGTGTGATGTAGAAAAATAGTTTAACAAAACAAAATTTATACAAAAAATTATAAATTATTATTTATGTAGTTCATTTCAGCTAACTAGTGTAAGCAATAACAAAATTAGTATAATTATGTCTACATTAACTTACCTCCATTTCTCTTTCAGCCAAGGGTAACCCCGGGACAATTCCAAGGTTGCGTCCAAAAAGTCTCGATATAGTATCTCCAAAATTAGATATAATTTTATGACCACCGTGACACGGCCGCCGAAAATATTCTTCCACGGGTACTCTTATGAAAATTATGTCGTCTGAACTGTCCTATATAAAGAAAAATAGGGTAGATTTCAAAAATAAAATTGGAGCAATCTTAATTTTGGTTTCAAAATAGGGATAATATTTTCCGCTATGGTAAATATACTCGTAGATGATAAATATGTTTCAGTTGATCAATAAAAAAAATAAAAGAAATAAATACCTCACATCGCAACTCTACCAAAGGATTTTCAATCCTAGCTCGGAAGTGATTCGTACTTATCTTCGTTTTCTTGTCTATTATCAATTTTCGGATCTTACGCCGTTTTGCCAGCGGCTCCAGCGCTTCTAATTCCTAAATCGTCAGATTATGTGGTTAATTCAACAAAGCAAATCTGAAGAAAGTACATAGGCGCTTATTAGCTCTGGCACAAAATTAAATTAAAAAGAAAATTTTCCTTATCTGCGGAACTAGGTATGCAAGAAAAATAAAACAAACTAAACATGGTGATGTTGGAAATTATCTATTAATCACACGTAAAATTTATAGAAAACTATCTGATCAAGTTTGTGTTACCTACCTCTAACGTAACCATATCCAGCACAGGTTCTTGTACTTTGTGTTGTTCGGTTTCGATGACATTACCAGGCTCTCTTATCTCCGACCTTCGCTCTTCTTGGATCCTAAGATATTAAAAATCAAAGGTGATACGAGGGTTGAATTACTTCAGGATGTAGAATAGAATAGAATAGTCATTTATTTCTGAGTATAATATGGGAATGCATCGAGATCTTAATATAAAATAAAGTTTGACATACACTACCGTCGTCGGTGTAGAAATACTGAGTTTATCTTAATAAAATAACATTTTGGTATTAAATTCTAAACAATTATTCATACCTATATCGTATTAGAAATTAGAATACATATAAAATTATTTTTAAATTTATTATTAATCAGAATACGAACCAAATAAACTTAATAATGTAGGTACCTTGACCTATATTTTTGTAGACGTTACAGAGGTATGTTATTTTAGGCGTTATGTTAGGCGTAAAACTTAAGTAGGTAGGTACCTACTTCACGTTTCGACTCATCTAATCGATTACGCAGACGGGTAGGTAGTTAATAGACAACATTAGTTTTTATTCTCATTTTATAAGATAAAACACTAACTTATCTGGTTCAGGAGCAGGCATTTCGGGATTCGGGACTTCGGGTATTTCAGGAATGTCTGCAGGAATACTCAGGTTTTAATGGATATAGGTAAGCGATTAGGATGAAATTATATAAAAGGATGGAATGATGGATCAATGGGAATGACGTTTTTTGATAGAGACATTACTGATTTCATCAATTTCTTTACTCACACGTATCCGATTATTTTGAAGTCTGTGTCTCATAATTATTTATGAAGATACCTGCTCTAAACAAGCAAATATAATATGTATATAAATATATGCACTAAAATACAACTATCCTCATGAAGGTCAGTCACTTTTCCCTGATAAAAACCCTATTTTAAGTTTTTATAAAAATGTAAAATGGCATTTGTGGTTCCATGGAATCAGAAAAATTACATAAAATGACTTACCTTTTTCAAAATCAGGCATGAGTTCTCCTCCAGTAGCTAAAAATAAAACATTTAATCAATATTTTTTCTCACGTGAATGAACTGAGACAAGCCCTACTGGTTGCTTATGAATAAGGGTCCCGGGTGTGACTTCTAACTAGTAGAGCTTTCTCAGTTAATAAACATCAGTAAAGTAAATGACAAATAAATAAATAGGTACATTTTCTGAACATCGTAAGATCATGCTCGGAGATTCTTTCCATCTGTGCATGCAATGGTTCAAGTAGTCGCGATTTGTCATGCGACTTGTCTGTCACGTCGAGTGCGATTTCCAAGCCGCTGTGTACCGTCGATACATCTGGTTGCACCAACATCATCTCTATTGTACGGTCTTGAAGCAACTGTAGAGGATCCAGACGTTCTTCGCCGAAACCGTCCTACGATATTCACACAAGAATTAAAAATACTAGTTAGTAGGCGTCGTAGGTACCTTTGTAATGCAGTAAATTTTTCTGAACATATTTGGATGGATAATATGGACTAGAAAGTCTAATGATTCGTCCATGTATATTTTTACAAGAATATTTATAGTAAGGAAGACACTTACTATTCACCATAATAAGTACTACCATTTACAATATCTAAGTAGTAAGCAGCTCACAACTGCCTAAATTAATTCAGAAGTAAAAAAATAAAACAAACAACATATGAAAGTAAGTTTGCATTTTGTCTCTGTTTCTCAGTAAATTATAAAAGATACAAGGTAATTACTTACATTTGGTGGTAGGACTTCACCAATGGCAGCTTCTTTCAATGTAATATCTTCAATATTTGAAACAACATTGCCACTTTTCTGTGGATATAAATGTGAATAATAATGTTGAGTTGAGAGAGAAAGACTTATCTAAATCTTTTAGTGGGTGGGTGATTCTTCACATCAATTAAAGAAAATTTAATAATGTCATTATCCTCAACCGAAAGTTAACGAGTCTGCTGATTAAAACACAGATAATTATTTTATTAAATTAAATCTCACCACTGCTTACAAGCAACCGATTAAAAATATTGAATAAAATAAATTACCAAGATGCTTAAAAACCTGGGAGGATAATGACTTGTTAAATAAAAGTTAAGGTTTTTTCAAGAATCACCCGGGTGTAGGATTTTTTGGATATTTTATTAATTCTTCTCATTTAAAGATTATAATCAATGTAGGCACCTAATTTTATGTCAATAAATACTAAGTAAATAATCTTAAATATAAAACTATGTCCACAATGTCAATAGTAAGTATAAACCTGTATCATATCCTCAATCCTCTGTTCATTTTCAGGTGGTTCTTGAATTATCTCTTGAATATCAAGCTGCTGCAGCTGTGGCCGCCTCACTTCTTCTACTATGTCCTCCTCATGGATATTCCATCTAAGATATTGCAATATTTTCACTATTAATACTTACTTGTTTTTGAATAAAATTAAATGAAATACTATGTTTAAGACCTAATTTACTTAAAACTTAAATCGGCAAATAAATTGTTATTCACAATTTAAAATTTGTCACCTAAGTTCTGATTAATTATAAGTAGGTTGTACCCATTTGCCTTAATAGGTATATTTGTAATAAACAATATTAAGTTGTACTTACTTTTTGTTTGAATGTTTTATCACATTTGCATTGATCATGCATAGGTCACCTGTAAACAGTATCCGATACTATAGATTGCACACTTTACTTCACTAAAACATATTTATTCAAGTGAACATAAATTAGACATCTATAGTAAAATAAGAACGTAGGTAAGATATTATTAGGTTCTACACTACCGATACCACTTTTTGGCGGTTGGCGAAGTGGCAATGAAACTTGCTGTGTATCATGACGCGGATACGTCACCCGCACATAGCAAAGCTCTTCAGGAAACTTACCTAAAAATATAGTGACTTTTCTTTGATATAATCTTACTAATCCTCTAAGTAGTTGGGAACTTAAACGAAGAGAAAATCTTTTGGTTGGACGACCCGACTCATTCGTCATAACTTCTAATAAATCATCACTACAAAAAAAAACAAAACCAATGTTAAAAAAAAACTACCGATCAGCGGTCATCCTCTTTCTAAGGACAGAAGTGGTAATGTTATTAATGATTATAATACTTTGTTGCGAAGTTTCTTACCATATTTTCCGAATATCCTGAGACCAAAGTTGCCGCTGAGTAATAGTGGCAAATCGCAAAGGCCACGAATCAGCGACCCAACACAAATAGAACCTGCCACCTCGTTTCAATGAATCAACAGGATAAAACATTTTCGTATTATAGTAGGACAATAATAAACATTCATGCAAACAACAAACGAAGGTCTAATAAATGAAAAGAAACTTGTAGCATAGAAAACATAAAAAATGGAAAGCGATCGAAGCCACGCTTAAATTCCCGCCAAAATATCTTTCTTTCGTACTAGGTAGGTACCTACCTACCTAGCGTTTTCCCACTTCTTTTTTTTTTAATTAACTTTATTCGTGACCCTAGATACTAGTCTTTCAGTCGAAAACATAGATATTTCCCACTTCTACAAAATAAATGTTGCCATGTCCAAAATAATAAAATTTTCTCAAAAATATTATATATAATTTTTTTAACTGAATGAATTTTTTTTAACTGTATAGCATAACATTTAATTATTTGATTAATAAAAAGATAAAACATGTTTACTTCATTAAAAGAAGGATATTTTGATCGATTTACGCCAAACTTACTGAAAGATTTATACCAAATTAAAAGGTACCTACTGCTTACTATTAAAATCTTTTAGTTTGACATATTAAATGAGAATCAAAACCGCCTCGCCTTTTACATAGGTGTTATATAGCCTGTTAAATAGTCTTCGTTATTCGTTCATGCACGATAGTAATGCGGATCAGAGGCTCAACATGCCTTAGGTAGCATATGCATTATGTAGTTTCATACAAAGAAAACTGTGTAGGTACCTGCGTTAGTACGCTCGGCTTTTTTCGTTATATCGGTATGGTAACCCAGTCAGTACCTACATAACTAAGGTGACACTTGTGTGAGTCACTCACACGACACGAAACGCCACGCTGGCATTTTGGGCTTAGGTCCTGAAATAAGTCTTAATTAGCCAATAGCCCACCACAGATGGGACCCTACAGAGCTTATGTTCAGCCGGGGTTGCAGGGCAAGCGCAATGAGGCACCGCGGCTACGGCATAAAGCAGGAGAAGAAACGGGGGATTTTTAGTCAGTAAGAGTCAGACACTCTTTCGCCTTACTATCGGCTTGGGCGGGAGAAGGCATTTGATGATTTTCCCCTGACAATAAAAAAGACCTGAAATAAGATAAGTTGGTAGGTAGGTAGAAGACCAATGATCTGTGCGATTAACTGATGCTAATCAATCAGTACCGCCCACGGACATAAATAGCAATAACAGAGGAGTTACGAGTAGATTGCCGACCGTTCGGGGATTAGGGTTTTGGAGATTTATGTATTGGTATAGGCAGGGGAAGGATTTGGCCTCTATACTCGGAATTTTAATTCCATTCCAGATTTGACAATTTCAGTGTTGCAACGTTATGACACGTATTAAATAGTGACGTTGCGAAATTATTCGATGTGGAAATCGAATATTTCTGAATCGATTCCTCTCGTTTATAAATTTAATCTCGTAAACTAAGTTTATCAGGAAATAAAATATTTCTGAACCGATAATTTAGTTTTAACAATTAATTAACGATCTGAGACTTTTCTTTTGTAATTGTGTGTGAAATTAATAAAAAATGTGAGCATGAAGGAACATGACAAATAAAACAGAGATTTTATAAATTGTCGCCGTCATCGCTATGGCTATCGCTGTTACTTTCTGTAACATTTATTTTGAATTTATTGTGTCTGTGATTTTTATTGTCAATTAACATATTATCTAGCTTACTCATTTTTTCCTCTATTTTGACAACATGGGATACGCATTTAGACCATTCGGTAGCCGTAATTTTTTGAATGCCTTCCTGAAACTGATTGTTTATCGATTTTTGTGTTCGTCACTACACTGTTATAATGTGGTATATTTTTTTCACAAAATGACAATAGGTCATGTCAAATCAGGAATCGAATTAAAATTCTGACTATAGTAACCCCACTAACACGGCGAAACAAAACAACGACGTTGTGGTTGTTATATGCCGATCCATTCGTGCCGAAACATGGCTCTCCCACACTTTAGGTTGACGATTTCTTCTTTTTTTAGGATTTGTTTATTTGTGTTTGTAATTTCCAGCTTTTTTTATTAAAAATTAGGTCGGCTCGCGATCTAGTCTAACGAGCGGTGTCTATGCCACACTGGTTAATTCCTGATTCCTGAAACTTCATGATGCCACAAGATACACAATTTATCAACGAAGCTGGGTGCCCCATTTTTTTAACCAAATATTAGTCTAATAAATAATAATACTCGAGAAATATTAACTAATAATTTATTAATAACTAAAATAAACTATACTACATGTGCAATTCAATACTCGTTTATTCATATATTGCAAATACGGTCCATAGCATGTTAGCATTCAACTTTCTTTTTAATATGGCGACCATAAACAAGACACTACAATTTACTGATAAGGTATCTACTTAACTCAGGAGTTCAAAAAATCAAAATAAACATTCATAACATTAACAAATTGGTAATATTTTACAATATCCTATCAAACATTTTAATCAGCAATTGGTTACTGATAGTAAAATGCCAAGAACACTTTGATTTCTTCTTTTAATTTAAATAACATACTTAAACACTCTGCCTGATTCCTCTACTGTAGTTTTCAGTCTTTTTAAAGTGCTCTTGTTCATGTGTTCCGTTTTTAAACCCAATTTTAGAGCCGCCGAGAAAGCTTCCTCAGCAACATCAATTTTATTTTCCATGATGTAGAAATTAATGAGACGCGAGTAGGCATTACCTAACGATGACAGAGACAAACCCTTGTTTGATTTCAATATTTGAATAAGTTTTTCAATTTTTTGTGGTTCTTTTCTTGTATGGCTCTCTTGTAGTAATCTTCTGAATACGACAACGGGCGCGTTACACAGCCATTTGGACCAAATCTCTTCGGCTTCTTTTTCTCTGTCGTTTAGTATAAGTTCCATCCATAGCAAGTTAGCTGGTAAGAACTTTTCTTTAGCTGCTGCAATGTCGGCTATTTGTTTGCCTGTGGAAAAAAAAAATTACATTATCACGAAATTTATGAGTGCATATGTGCGGAATTGTATCTAATTCTATTGAGAAGAAAGAGTCTTTGATTTGACATTAGTAAAGTCGTAGCACTTTCTAATAAGGTTCTTAATTCAGTTATCCAGTACCTAATCAGTGCTAGATTAATTATTATGTTTAACGACTTATTCACGTATATGTTTGTCGAGGATGTCGATTAGTTTCAAGCTACGCTAAGGGCTCATTTTCATGAGCAGCAATGAGGGACACGCGACGTGACTAATGTTGCACAGCCAATAAAACTAATAACTGTAGTTTCTTGTCAAACAGGTACATACGTCTTTAAAAAATTCAACATCATAGTTTATTAACATATATGTATCACAAAAACCTACTTATCAGAAGAATTTAGTAATGTTTTTTTCAATACTTACACTTTTCAGTAAGTTCGTTATCTTGAACAACGGTTGCTAGCGCGCTACTTCTAGGGTATTTTCGTAGAGCATTATCCATTTCCTCTTCAGACTTGGCAGCTTTAACTAATTCAAGTACACTATCCACATGTTGTGCCCCAGCGCCCCTGTTGAATATGGCCAGGGTCAACTTGTCATCGTAAGTCACTCGTCGTTTCAATGAATCGTTTACATGTTTGCCCAACTGTTGAATCTTTTCTACATTTCCTTCTTCGGCCAAGGATTTCAATAAGTATTTTAGAACATTGGTCTTAGGCACCACACCATGTTCAATAGACTTCATTGCTACATCAATTGCTTGCGACAACTGTCCGTCCTTAGTCAAAGTTTCGATATGACTTGATACATCAGTTTTGGTTGGTTTGGTTGGTTCTCTTCGGCTCACAATCTTTTCTACAACATCACCTTGATTTTTGCTTTTAGTACCTATGTTACCTTGTGGTATAACAAATGGTACTTCTCTCTTTTGGGCTATTAAATGATTGCCGAGGTATGATAGAAATTGGTCGCTGGGTACTTCGCCTTCTTCTTGCAGAAGTGTCCATAGTCCGAGAGCTTTGTCAGTTTCGTTAGCTTTGCAGTATGTGACGAGTAGGTGGTAGAAGATGTTACTACGGTCGACATTGGACAATTCTTTTGTAGCTTCAAGCAAACCTTCGAGGTATTCGGATTTTCCTTCCTGTAAAATTGTTATGTGATTAGAAAGTGGTAGATTATTCTAACAAAAAATCTTTAAAAGAGTATTCCTTCAGTTCTGTAAATAACAGAAAATAAACATAACATGGGATTTTTTTTAATTGTGTTCTGCTGTCGTCATTGCCACCACTTTACTAACGAAGCAGATCAAACTTTTGTGCATTGCCATGATTAAAATTAATATAACAAACCTCGACGTATCTCTGGCAAGCATCATCTAAGCGGCGGTGTCGAGTCTGTAGTCCAGGCGTCTCGAGGATACGACGCGCCTGTCGCAAGCGACCGCACTCAACGAAAGCCAGTACCAAGTCATGAAGAATATTTACTTCTCCATGGATCTAGAAAATAATAAAATAATATGTTTAAAAAATAACAGTAACCATAAGTTTTATCATCACTCAAGTATGACAATGATATTTGGCCATCTAGTTGCGTTATTGTGCTGAATAAATTAGTTAAGCAAAGGGAAAGCAAATTATGTAGTTTCTTAGGAATGAAATCAGTTGATGTATGTATACCTGTGTACTGAGATCAGCTAACCACTGGAGTTTAGTAGCATCCTCCTTCATAATTAATGACTTCATCAGTTCTCCCTTCCAAGGAGTGCTTCTGTACTGTTTGCAGCAATTCTCGAACTCTTTCAAAGCACCTTCTACATCATTTTGCAGTAGGTGCACCTTGATTGAAGGGCCCAAAATGATATTTGAAGGCTCAATATACTTGTTTTCTAAAAGTGTCTTTGTCATTTGCTTCACCTGAAAAATAAACTTGATTGAAATGACTGTAATATGACATGTTTTCGTAAAGTTGCCTGTTTTTCTTTTCGGAATAACGCGCCATCATTGATCTATCTATCATCTATTACTTGGATTGTAACTCGTAACCTTTATGTGGATCAATCTGCCTTGTTCAAGATTAGCTTGTTGAGTTGTAGTGGTTGTATAGAATTGCTTTAATAAATTTGCAATAATTTTACCAATTGAGGTTTGAACTAATTGAGTTAATTAATGTGTACTTACTTGGGCATCATTTTTTTGTTCAGCTAACGTGTTAAGCATTTGCCAGCATTTGGAATTTATCATAAAACCTGTTGTGTTGTCATCATGTTTGTGATTTTGCAAAGTTTCTACAGCTTCATCAAACTTGTTCGCTCGGACGAAGGCATATGCCATTTGTACTAATTTGTATTTATTCAAAACAAAGTCTGGTTCCTTTTCAGCAAGTTGTTTTTTACATTCTACAGCTCTTTCAACTTCATCGTTTTCACAGTAAAACTCGAATAACTGAGCTAGTGTTGCCGTTGTTAATTCAAAGTTCGATTGTTTCAATTCCTCCAAGAAACTGTTCACCTTACTGACATTATTATCTTTAATGTAAGCAACAAGCAGCTGTTTCTGTATACGAGATAAGTTGTTGACTCCTTTGTTTTTTAATTGTGCAAATTGATTCTCGAGTTGCGCGGTAGTTCGTGGTCCTCCTTGTTTGCGGATACTCTCAATCGGAACTAACTCTATCTCAGTTGTCGATAGCTTGGTTAATAACTGGGACAGTTCCTTTGTCATGTTTTCTCCTAAAAATTGTTCTATCGATTCTGCAGCTTCAGTAGTTATTCTCAACCCTTTAGAGTCAACACTTTTCAATAGATTTTCTACCAAATCTGGTTTAGTCAAACCCTTGGCAGACGCCCTCACAATACGGCTAACTTCAAGGATATCACTGTTTTCTTCATTCTGACCTTCCTCATTGTTGGCAGCAACATCCTCCTCAGCCTGTGTCAAAGGTTTACTACTTATAACATGGAGAATTTTTGCAAAGGATTCCACATCTTTTGTCCTGTTCACTGCATTGATGAGGGACCTAGCAACGAGAGAGTAGTTGCCCCAAGGTCTATATTGCAGGGCAATTTCCGCTGCGCCTTTTATGTCTCCGGATTCCAAAAGCTCAACCATAAGATTTCTTGCTGCATGTATTGTTGGTACGGTTGCAAGTTGAAGTTTTACTATGACATTCTGTGGAGAATCTTTTTTTATCAAGTAAGGAATAACATAGTCTCTCAATGCTTCTCCCGTGACTGTAAAGTTATTGCTGCTCATTTCTCTTAAAATTTGCAAGAGACCTTCTTCATCGTTTTCTTTTGTTTTCTGCACTAACAAAGGCCAATAGAAATGTTGCCTGATTTCCATTCCTTCTTGTTTTAGTTCTTTGAACAGCTTCAATGCTAATTCTGCTTGACCAAGTTGCAATGACCCTTCAGCTGCAATGAAAAGAGCTTTCGGTACAAGCCCTTCTTCCTGCAGTTCTTTACACGTTTTAATAACATCATCAGCAGGTTTGTTAAGTTTGAGTAGCTGTTTCACAAAGAATGCCCCTTTGAATGGGGTATCTTCTATATTGGTAGATTTTGGCATTGTTTTCATAATTTTCTTGGCAATTTGTTCTTGTCCCTTATTGAGCAGTCTAAGTATAACATTACAAACATCTTGGTTGTATCCTATGCCTTTTTGTAGGAGAGGTATGATCTGCTCTACTTTGTCTCCATGTCCACTTACTGCTAAGTGCTCAATTACTTCCAAAATGTCCTAGAAGAAAAAATAATGAGGTTTTACAAAATCTTCTATTTTATTTTGCTCTTAGTTGTATATTTTATTATTATTCAATTTCAGTCAGAAAACTAGAGAGCTGAAGCATATTTGTTTAAATAAACTTACCCGGTCTGTAAGTTGTGTTTCTTTTTCACTTGCGGTTTTTATTATTTCTTGAATGCCATCTATATCTCCTTTCTTTGCGTATCCGCATGCTAGTAATGTGTATGTACGGTTAGAAGGTTCAAGTCCAGCCCCTGCCATGGTCTGCAAAACAGCTTTCGCTCCATCAGTGTCACCATGGAAAGCATGGCCCATTACCAATGCATTCAGTACAGGTTCCGACACTGGCATGCTAAGTTCACGCATCTTTTCTAGTACTTTGGTAGCGCCTTCAACGTCACCTTCCTGGCAGTAACGCCACATGAGCCTTTGGTATGTCACCCTGGATTGAAAGAATTTAATTAATATTTGTAAAGTAGGTATTAGGTAGTAGTCAATTCAAACGCAGTACCTGGCTGCCTGGCTGACTTTGTGATAAACACAATATGATAATATATAACAACTATTTGTTGAAACAATGAACTAGATGAAGTCGGCATTTCCTATCTAATTACTATGAATAGAAATGCCGAAGCAAACTCAGAGGTCCAACTGTTTTCGAATCCAGACAATGTAGAAAAATAATATTATGTGTGAGAACTATGCAAGTTCATTATGTAGTGGTCTTCTGATGTGCTCAACAATTTTCAACTTGATTACAACCTTGTATTGTTGGATGTGTATTGTTTATGGCTACCTAATATTATGCTGGTATTATGTACAACTTGCTTAATATGACACAAAATATGTCCAAAATTAAGTTCATTCAGTCATGGATAAGAAAACTAATTAATTACCTGTTTGGTTGTAATCCTTTCCTCTCCAATTCTTCAAGGAATTTAGCCGGGGAGAATTGATGCTCATTTTCAATGTACACTCTAAGTAAAGCATTGTAGTGAGAAATATCCATAGGAATTCCTCTTTCAATGAGCACACTCCATATTTTTTGGACCAATAGCGTTCTCTGTTCTGGTAACTCTTCAGGAACAAGCTCACCTAGTTGTAAAAAATAATATATTCATTTCAGTAATAATAATATATTCATTCATTTCGTAGTTGTAAGACTACTTATTACAATAATAAAATTTTTAGGGTCTAATCTCAGTTTCAAAAATTAATGTAAATATGTTCTTCACATAGTAGTTTTCTGCAAATAGGTTAGATTATTGAATAGATAAATAGGCTTTTTGGTTTTTTGGACATTTGATAAACGGTGAAGATGGAGTTATTAATTGTGTGCCTTTGCTAGTGCCACTGTATGATTTTTTTATCAAATCTCATAATAAGCAGTTGAAAACGTTTTCTTTTGTAATAATTACAACATACAGATATATTTCATAGTTAAAAATTTCTTACCACAACATCTAATGACCAGGAGAGACTGTGAGCTTGTGATGTCATTTTTAGATTTAATTTCATCGAATACTTCATCAATATCTTTCTTAGTTATTCTTCCAAATCTTCGAACTTCAGAATCTAGTTTTTGTAGCAGTGGTTCTAGGCTTTCTTTCTTTTTTGTTGCATAATCTCTCATGAGAACACTGGAAATGATTTATCATAAATAAAGTAACCCTACTTCACTAAAAATTATGGTTAAATAAATCTTAAGTAATTCAAACAGATCTTAAATAATAATAAACATTTATTTCAATGCAGTCAAAATTTGTAAGTAGTAAATATATATTGTTATAGAACGGCATTACTAGTACATTATAGTTATCTTTCTTATGATACTGAAGTTGAGTGGCTTCATCGAGGTTTCTACACTTTACCAATAGTAATTTACGACAATATTATGATTCAGTGCATAAACACTACACATAGTATACTCACTTATTGGCGCCACATAATGCTTTAGGATTGATTAAAGTAGTAGTTTCAGCGGTCTTGGCAGAGTTTAGGATAAGCGTACGGGCCGCACCAGTGAAGTATCGCACAAATTTCGTAGATCTTAAGAGCGACGACATTTTGTTGTTACGGAACTTTAAACCATTAATTAACAACTCAATATCACTTCAAATATAGGAAGAATCACTGATCTTTTATCAATAACCAACCAAGGCAGCTCGGAACTACCCTGAAAAAGGAATTTGAGGTTATAGTTATGTCACTTGGCATATTGAACCAGTGTTGCTAGGAAATATAGAACTATCTCTCCAACTATAGTCGAGCATCAAGTTAACAGTTTCTACCCGATTTTTTGATTGATCGCAAATAAAAAAGAACATTTATTATTTATACACAATTATTACACTTAAAACATCTATTAAAAAACTTTTTGAGCCACTATACGAGCACAGACAAGGCAACATTATTACTGCGTTCGAAAATCCATGTCTCTGACTAGTGTAGTACCTGTAACAACATCATAGCCTAAGAAAGTTCAAATTCGTAGCAATTGCTTTCCTACTTACTACTACTAGCTATTCTTAGTATCACAAAATAATATATTTATTACTATAAAATATTAAAAAGATTAACCTTAAATTTATCTAGTCTATCCAGAAATGCAATATTTTAGGTAAGGTAACAAAATGCATTATTTACATTATTTTTTTTAATAAAAAGGCAAAATCAATTGGGCTTTGGACATTTGGATTCAACTCCTGCATGAATTGGGTGGATTAACACAAATCATCAACTCAACCGGCTATCAACCATCTGTCAACCACGATAACGGACCGGTAGATTGCCTACTTGTCAAAGTAATTTCTGCGGACCGTACATTACACGAGTGCACACGGCGCGTAGTTTACCAGCCGCAGATTTTGTTACAGTACATTTCCAACAGGAGGTTCAGCTGGTTCATATTAGAGCCAATAAGAAACTTTAAAAGTTAAAAATCTTCTAACGAAATACAAAATGGTGAGTTTTTAAATACCTAACAAACTTCCATTGACTTTGATTTGACCTTTAGTGAACGGAGTATTTTTTATCAACAAAATGCAAATTGTTAAATTCCTTTTTTAATTAGTTTCAATAAGAGGGTTTTTATTCAATCTCTAAAATATATATATTATCTGCTTTATGTATAAGATTTAGAATATAACATTTTACCAAAGTAAAACCGTTTTTTTTAGCAAAACTCAGAGTATCAAGTTAGGTCCTTTAGATCCCCTTCGGTGTGATCTATCTGTCAAATGAATGTTTTCTTTCAGAATCCTATATGTTTGAGAGTCATTTATTTTAATTTGCATATACTGTGTTACCATGGCAACCACGGTAATATTATGTGCAATGATTTGGCAGTGATCTTGTTTTGTACCTATTACATAATAATAACATTGGCACAAACATGAATATTGAAGGTGTTAGTACACTGAATAAAATTGTATAGAGCTCTGTTTCTAAATATAACACATTTTTTGTTTGTTTGGATGTATGTATGTAGGTAGTTTCTTACAGATACTTACCTCACATTGAAAAAAAAAACATGTGAAAAAATTTGACATCCTTACACATTTATGATGTGTTCAGTCTTTTGTATGGTTAATACAAATAACATGTATTTATTGAAGTAATTGTTTAGTAACAAATATTAATCTAAAACAATTGTATAATTAATTGTACACCTTGTCTTATTTCAGGCTGAACCTATTAAAGTGGTTGTTACTGGTGCTGCTGGCCAGATTGCCTACTCTCTACTTTACCAGATTGCATCTGGTGCAGTATTTGGTCCCAACCAGCCTGTGTACCTCCACCTTCTTGATATTGCCCCAATGATGGGAGTCCTTGAAGGTGTGGTTATGGAACTAGCTGACTGTGCCTTGCCCCTGCTCGCAGGCGTACTTCCAACAGCAAAACCTGAGGAAGCATTTAAAGATGTTGTTGCTGCATTTCTAGTGGGAGCCATGCCCAGGAAAGAGGGCATGGAAAGGAAAGACCTCCTTGCCGCTAATGTTCGTATTTTCAAAGAACAAGGTCAAGCACTCGACAAAGTTGCCCGCAAGGATGTAAAAGTACTTGTTGTTGGTAACCCAGCTAATACTAATGCTCTTATTTGCTCAAAGTATGCTCCTTCCATTCCTAAAGAAAACTTCACAGCTATGACTCGCCTTGACCAAAACCGTGCCCAGTCACAGCTGGCAGCAAAGATTGGAGTCCCTGTACAGAATGTTAAGAATGTTATTATTTGGGGCAACCACTCATCAACTCAGTTCCCAGATGCCTCCAATGCTGTTGTAAACATTGGTGGTGCTCAAAAACCAGTCCCTGCTGCTATCAATGATGATGCTTTTTTGAAGTCCACATTTGTCACAACAGTCCAGAAGCGTGGTGCTGCCGTTATTGCCGCAAGAAAGATGTCTTCAGCTCTCTCTGCAGCTAAAGCAGCTTCGGATCATATGAGAGATTGGTTCTTGGGAAGTGGGGACCGCTGGGTCAGCATGGGTGTTGTCTCAGATGGTTCTTATGGCACCCCTCGTGATGTCGTATTTTCATTCCCGGTCACAACTGCCAATGGCAAGTGGAAGATTGTTCAGGGTCTGACCATCACAGACTTTGCACGCCAAATGCTTGATGCTACAGGCAAGGAGCTTGCTGAAGAAAAACAGGAGGCTCTGGATGTCTGCAAGGATTGACCTAGCATTTAATTGAAATTATAAGCAATATAATTAGCTTTAGAATATACATTGTATATTGAAAGATCAGAGCAGCCTCTATATTATTATTTTTATCACAATCAACTCATGTCATTGTGAACAAGCATTTCATATGAAGGGCAGATTTAAATAAATCTTTCCATTATATCATATCACACTCAAAATGTTGCTTTATTAATTAGGCATTTCTCTGTTATTGTTTTTTATTTTCATATTTAACAGCATTTATATTACATAAAATTCGTCATATTTTTGAGACTTTTATTTTACTGCATAAATGGATATTGTATGTTAAGTAATAAAATATTGTCTATTCTGTTATCATGTTTTCTGTTATAGTTGTAATTGATAACATTCGTTGCTTCGTGAAGGTCACTGTAAATAAAGATGTTGTTATATTACGTCCATACGTTTTATGTGTAATTAGTTTACTAGTAGATACTAATATGTGGCGCCACTCCCTGATTGTGGGAAACCCTACACAATGAAAAGATTGAATATCCAGGAAGCCAATATTATGAGCTAGTAGGTTAGATACACACGGAGTTTTCACAAACTGTTCATGACATGCTACATAAATTTGCAATCCTAATCGTATAGAAATAGCAGAATTAAAAAAAAAAACGACTTCAAATGTAAATATATTTTAATTTTCAAAATTTAAATTTCTTAGGAAATAATTTTTACTGTAGAGTCTCAATGCATACTCCCGGTGGTAATCTGGTAGGCGGGAATAAACACAGATAATAAGTTGAAAATTATTAAAGGTCATAGAACATTCCAGAATGCTTGACCAAATATTTAGTGTTATCTTCTAACATCGATAAATCATAATTACCTAATTATTGTACTGTTTCTATCAAGATCTAGATAGATATTCTATTATTTTACGTGCGTGATAAAATTGGGGAGATACAATGATTATATAATACGTCATTGGGGAGATATCATTGAATGATGGTGTTTATTCAATGCTAAATGTTAACTGCACGTATTTGATAAAGTCGAAAGATATAGATAGGTGTGTACCTACAGGTACACAGTTCACAGTAATAATTTTCTTAGAAACTAGGTAATAAAGTGCTGATACCTATTTTCAAATAAACTAAAGAGATACTTCAGGCAGTCGCAAAAGCTTCAACGTTCGATTCGTGTGGCGCAATATTTTTGGAACCGTTTATTTAGTCTACTATCTTATGTAGTCTTCGTTGAGAGCAGGATCAGGTACACACGTGTAGGTAGGCATATTAGGTAGAGAAGTATTAAATAACTTCCGCCCTCGGTGAGACGGGAGGCGTTTAAGACTTAGATAGGTACTGACTAAAAATCTATTTTAACTCCTGCTCCGATTCGAAACAGAGACAACATAACAATCGCAATTCTGGGCATAGTGTTGCGAATAGGCACAGGACTTATTTATTGTGTGATGTAGGTTTTTTTTTTTTTTTTTTTTTTTTGTGAGGGGAAAATCATCAAATGACTTCTCCCGCCCAGGGCCGGGCAGGAGGGAGTGTCAGACTCTTACTGACTAAAAACCCCCCTGTTCCTTCTCCTGCTCTGTGCCGAGGTCGCGGTACCTCATTGCGCTTACCCCGCAACCCCGGCTGAACATCAGCCCTTTAGGGCCCCGTCTGTGGTGGTCTATTGGCTCTTTGAGGCGCGCGCGGAACGCTACGCGCCGTACGCTCGGGCCTGGTTCTGGTCGGGCGGCGAGCTGCCCTTACTCGCCGACCGCAGGCCCGTACTTACGGTGGCCGGAGATCGTCCCTCGATCCCCGACGCCCGCAGTGTCGCCAGTTGCGGCTGCTGGGGCGTGAGGAGGAGGATTGCTCCCTCACGCGGGCCGCCTCTCTCTTTGCGAGCATGACTGCTTCACAAAAGGAGGAGACGGCGTCCCAGTTCCTCTCACTCCGCACCATGGCCTCGACTAAGGCCGGGCGCGAGAGGTCGCCGCCGCCGATCACTTCCCTGAGGATACGGCGGTGCTCAGCCCAGGCAGGGCATACCGCTACCGTATGCTCCACCGTATCCTCTAGGTGGTCCTCACAATGACGACACTCGGGCGTTTCCTCCCGCTGAATCCGAAACAGGAACCTACCGAAGCTGCCGTGCCCGGTAAGCACCTGCGTCAGACGGAAGGTGAGGACGCCGTGGCGTCTCTCAAGCCACTCCTCAAAGAGGGGTCTTACCGCTGCTATGGTAGCGTGCCCGGCCCTCGGTTGCGACAGTCGTTGTCTCCACTCTGCCATGAGATCTCGCCGGAGCTCATTCCGCCACGCACTAATTTGGCGCGGCAGAGGATCTTCGCCCCGGCGACGCGCGTCTGCGCGCAAACTGTAGACGCGCGCGAGCGCCTTCGCTTCTAGATCCCACGGCGGTGATCCGGCAAGGAGGTTCGCCGCCTCCCCGGAGATCGTGCGATACCCGCGGATTACTCGTATAGCCATGACCCTCTGTGACGCGACCAGCGTACGAGCCGGCCGCCGCTTCAA